CTAGTGTTTGTAGTGTGTCGTGGACGGGTGTATAGACAGTGATCGGCTATTTCAATAAAGAACTTGCATTAAAACATTGGCTAGATATTAACTTAGTTATAGTAACATTCAATTATTAAATTATGTATTGTTTGTACTGCTTGTGTTCTTATTTTCCACCTTGTAGATGGTCCTTCGGATTGGAAGTAATTACAAGACTTAGTACACTCTAAATGGCAGCAATATCTCCCTCCTAATTTGTTGAACAAATGCCCGTTTCATTTTACCATATGCTATGCTTGAGGTATTGTTCCTATTGTGAAAGATCTATCTATCTGTGAAAGATCTTTATTTTAGCATATTATTGATAATGTTGGTGATATATACTATCACTTTCGCTCGCAGGTTATTGAGCGCTCTGTTTGTGCTTTTGTCTGGTTCTGGTGCTTTCTTTCTACTTCGCTTCGATTTCTTCCTCTTCTTTTTACTTCTTCCGTGAAATCTTGATCTTCGTAGAGATGGCAGTTGTTCTTTCATACCGATTCTAGCGTGTCTTTTAGCGTTTCCGCTTTGCTTCTTCGGTGCAGAGATCATTGTAGGCAAGACTATAATGATTTCTCCCTTGGTGTTCCAATTACATCAGAGAAGTGTCAAATGTTCAGCTATAGGCTATTGATTATGTACCTCAGTGATCAGATCAGATGAGATCACGTGAGAAAGGTACTCTGCCAGAACAGCTGCAGTGATTTTATAATAAATTTTGTGGAAGATTTAAAAACAAAGGTTTTGTCACATAAAGATCTAATATGTTGTAATTTTCACCTCATAAAAATCCGAAAATTAAACTGCTGAAAAGAAAAATATTTGATTTCACGTACAGTGCGTCTGTGTATCTGCTTATACGTATTTCGCCCTAATAGGGCTCGTCAGAACAGCTATTTACAGTCGTGAAAATAAATATTTTCTGTCTTTGGAAGCAACTATAGCATGGCTTCGTATAGACGCAAATGGCGACATCTGATATTAAAACCCGTAAACTAATTTTCGAAAGCAAATTCACAAACACACAGACGAACTGTACGTGAAATAAAATCTTAACTGTCTGTTTCTTTTTATTTCGATATACTCTGTATGAATACAAGAAACCAATTCGCTAAGGATTTTTGCTTAATTAAGAAGATATGTCATGGATTGCAAATTTTAGATTCCCGATGTCAATAATAACATCTTTATCAACGTCTGTTTTGCCTTGCAATTCTTAGAAGGCACAGATTAAAGCAAAAATCTGAATTTGGTTTCAAAAATTAGTTTACGGATTTTAAACTGCTAAAGTTTATTGAATTGTTTTTACTTTGCTATCTATTTGTAACACTATGTCATTTTTAATTGGTTGAAGTCTCATTGTACTTTGTGATTACATAAAGGTTCAATAAGTTATTTTGAAAAACATTTCATAAAGTAAATGAACTAAACATAATTGGAAACTGAAAAAAATGCGCCAAGAATATTTTTATTTTAAAAAGCAGCGGAAAGTAAATGAAAAAATTACCCGGATACGCTTTATATAACCATCAAGATTGGATACACAAATTCTGGAGCGTCGAATATAATCCTAGAACATTTTTATATCCGGAGGCGCATGTCATAACACAAAAAAACAAAAATATCTCGCAATGTCTTTCCATTTAAAAATGTCATTTATTAAGAATTATATTTTAAAAACACGTAAATAAAATATTTTTCTCATCATTTTTTTGTTTATTTAATAAAGTTAAGGACAACTGAGCAAAGCAATTTAAGCTTTGAGTTCGCAAATGTTTTATACTGTGTATTTCTTATTTTCTTTAGGTTACAAATTTCTTTTACCATCTCTTTTATTCCGATTGAGTGACATTTTAAGTGCACTTCAGTGTAGAGTATGTATTTGAGTTTATAGTTCAATAATAATAATAATAGAGGTAAAAGGGCAGATGTATTTTTATTTTAAAAGACTCACAACCACTTTTTGTAAGCAAAATTTATATTTAATATTATTACTAAATAATTAAAAAAAGATTCACTCAACGGAGTGAAATACTAAAAATATGGACAGAATTCTGCAAAGAAAAGTTTAAAAAACAAAACGAAGATCCAGTATATGATGGAATTATACTGGATCAAACGTATAAGCTGAAATGCAAGAAGCAGTTACCAGACTGAAAAACAAGTCACCTGGATTAGACAACATTAGCGCAGAATTAATAAAGAAAGGTGGAGACTCCCTATTGAATGCGATACACGAACTAATAGTAAACATATGGAATAATAAACAACTGTCACAAGACTGGAATACCGGAGTAGTTATCTCACTACATAAAAAGGGAGACGAACACATCGAAGTAATGGAAGATATATTTAATAAAATATACGAAACAAGCATAATACCAAATGATTGGCTGACATCGGTGTTTATACCACTACCAAAGAAGAGAAACTCCAAGAAATGTGAAGTTTATAGGATTATTAGCCTGATGAATCATATGTTGAAGCTTTTTCTACGAGTAATACACAATAGAGTATACAATAAACTAGACGAACACACTGGTCAAACTCAGTTTGGTTTTAAGAATGGGTTCGGAACAAGAGAAACACTTTTTTCAATACGTGTGCTAGTTGAAAGATGTAGAGATGTCGATTCTGATGTATACTTGTGTTTTTATAGACTTTTAGAAGGCGTTTTGACCTGGTGAAACATGATAAACTAATAGATATTTTAAGGTCATGTAATATCGACGATAAAGACTTAAGCATCATTTCAAACCTCTACCAAGAACAAAAGGCTAAAATCAGAATAAAAAGATAAATATGGTCATCAGCAAGCACCAAAACAGAAGAGTGGAGGTCAATGTCGACGGAACAGATCTGGAAAGAGTAACAAGAACAACGTACCTTGGAAGTAATCTTGATATAACTTGGGACCACTCACTAGAGATAAGAATACGCCTGGAAAAGGCACGTACAATGTTTTACAAAATGCAAAAAGTTCTATGTAACCGCCAGCTGATCATCTCATTGAGAACTATGATACTTAAGTGCTATGTTTTCTCCACCTTGCTCTATGGTGTTGAAGCCTGGACCATGACAGAAGCAACACAAAAAAGAATCCAAGCATTCGAACTCTGGTGTTACCATAAAGTGCTCAGAATATCCTACATGAGCCATACGACAAATGCGGAAGTCTTGCGGAAGATGAATAAGGAAAGAGAGCTTATGCTTATAATAAAAGTACGGAAAACACAATATTTTGGTCACATCATAAGAAATCAAAAGTATGAACTGCTCCAACTTATAATCGAAGGCAAAGTCAATAGCAAAAGAAGACCAGGAAGAAGACGCAACTTCTGGCTTAAAAACCTACGACAATGGACGAACATGGCCTCCATAGAACTATTCAGGGCTGCTACAAATAAGATTTAATGGGCAGATGTAATGGCCAACGTCCTTAAGGATAAGGCACCCAACAAGTTCTCCGAATTCTTTTTCTTTACTGGTGGAAGCCGATACATCGTGTTCCAACGTTTTGGCATTTCCTGCCACATGTTTTCTTTTTTTATTCTGTTTCGAAGTACTTAATTTATTTTCGCTATCCCTATAATCAGTTGGTTGGTACTCGTCCAAAAGATACGTGTAGGAAAACTCATCCGATTCTTTATCTAACAGAATTTCTTGCCAATATTATTTTCAAGTTTTTGTTGCTCTTTCTCGTACGACTGCAATTGTACCGCTCTAATCTAAGTATTCTTCTTCTTCTAATGGCACTACAACCCTCTGTGAGTCTTGGCCTGCTTAATAATGTTCTTTCATTGCGCCCTGTCGCACACTTTCCTTCGCCACTGCCTGATGTTCGTGGTTTTAAGATCCCTCTCCATGTCGTCTATCCATCTGTTACGGGGCATTTCTCTTGTTTTGTTTCTTTAGGGCTTTCATCTTTGGACTATTTTTACAGCTCTAATCTAAACATATAAAAGACAAAGATCATGATAGTGGATAGACTACACAACAATCATCCACACATAACCACAATTGACCGGTTCGAGGTTGTGAGCTCATACTTATATCTGGGATCATTAATCACAAACACAGGGTCATTACAAGAAGAGATTAAACGTAGATGTGATCTAGCAAAAGTTGCCACAGCAAAAATGACCAAAATATGGAAGGACTGTCAAATTTCAAGAGCGATAAAGATGAGGTTGATCAACTGCTTAATATTCCCAATACTGACCTACGGATGTGAATCTTGGACTCTGAGACAATCGGAGAGAAGAAAGATAAACGCCACTGAAATGTTCTGTTGGAGACGAATATTACGAATTCCTTGGACCGACCGTAGAACAAATAATTCAATTTTAAGGGAGCTAAAAGTTAGCCAACGACTCTCTAGTAAAGTCCATCTCCAACAATTAAAATATTTTGGGCATGTTATGAGAGCAAACACAGAAAACATGGAAAGACTCATAATACAAGGAAAGGTAGAAGGCCGAAGATCACGAGGAAGATCCCCAACAAGATGGATAGATCAAATTACAGGAATATGCCAAAGACCTATGCATGAATTAAAAGAAATGACCAGAGACAGAGATCTCTGGAGAAGGACAATACACGACATCACGTCGACCACTACACTCCCCCTGGGGGGTCAGGATTGAAGAGAGAGAATCTAAGTACTGACAAAAAAAAACGCAAGTCACGGCGACTTCTACTTCGCTTGTTAGATTTGCCGACAAGTTATCAACAGGACTCTCATAGGCATTTTGTGATAAAAATCTTACTGGTGGTCGCGAAACTTCAATATGGACTCACATTTTTAAAAATGAAATTATTACTAAAATTCGCATTTTATAAAGTTAGATTTTGATTTGAAAGGTATAGAAAGTAATAGATATTCTATTAAAAAATGTGATCAGCAAATGAAGACATTAAAATTTTCAATATGGTGGCACTTAACCTGTTAATAATGTTTGTTGTTTCTTCTGTTTTAGGTATAATAGTAGAATTCGACTTCTCAAAACCGGAAGGTGAAAGGGTCATCTCTCTTAAAGCGAGATGTCACAACTGTACTGTACCAGTATATGAAGACGTCGAAGAGGACAAACTATACAACTTGGCTATTAACTCATATATGGCTCAAGGTGGTGATGGCTTCGACATCATAGGAAAAAATTTGATTAATAGAAAACGCGGACAAGTGGATGTGGACGTTTATGTAGACTACATCAGTCACAGATCGCCAATTTTCCAAGAAGAAGGAGGAAGAGTTATTTTACATAATGTCGAAAATTCGTTTGTTATTCGCAAATAATTTCGTTGTTTCAAAAATTGTTCTTTAAAACCAATTAATATATAATTAAATAAAAAGCTGCCAAAAATAGTCTAAGAATGATTAGCAAGTTAGTAGATTACATAAAATAATTTTTTTAATAGATTATGTTTTATTTATCATTACACCATATTATGTCCTTATAAAGGCTTCCTTAAAAGTAGTTTTTCTCTGCTGTCCTGAGCTACATGAATCAGGATTTTTAAGATCTAAAAGACAGTAGAAAATAAGCAACATCAATATCAAAAAAACCAAAACCAAAACTTACAATAAAGTCGTCCCAGGAACGCAACTCAGCAATATTGGCTACATAATTTTAAAGTCATCCACTTTAAAATGTGCTCAATATGTCTAAAATGTCAATATGAATGTATCAGATCAAATTAATTTATTAGAAGAATTTTTTACCAAGCAACGAAAAACATCAACAAAAAAACTCTGCTGGAAACGCGAGAGGCCCAATACATGAATTTAGAGCAGCTGTCAACAAAGTTATATGGACCAACGTAATTGTCAACATCTACAGAGAATAGGCACCACCAGAAGAAGAAGAACAAAGAACAAAATTTATTTAATTTTACAGAAGTTATTAACTGCTTCCACCAATTTAAAAGTTACATTACCCCAAACATGCAAAAAACTATTAGAAAATTATTAGCGATAAAAATACATTATGTTAGTTCGTAAAATAATTTGATAAAATAGAAGAAATATCATGAAAAATAAATTTAAACAATAAACAAAAATGTTAAATAAAATAAAGCAGAGTCAAACACATTTTTTCCAGTGTGTATTTATTGTAAAAGTTTTGTCTGTTTTGGCAATACAACACCACTTATATTTGTATTGATAGAAAAGACACATGGGACAGAGAGGATGAAAGGTTTTTTATTTAGAAATCGTGAAATGTGAAATCGAACTTAATGGACCATTTATTCTCATAACTTTTTTGAAACGTGTGCGCGTTTTTGGAAACATTTTTTATATGCAATGGGGACCATGAGTCTAGAGAATATATGGTAAATAAATAAATAAATAAAATAAAATAATTTATTGATCTCTTGAGCCAAAGATATAAAAAATGATTTATAAAAAGGAAATGCAAGATCTATATATTTGTAAATACTGTCGAAGTACAAACTTGGATGATACAAGTGAATTTTTCTATGTTAGTCCCATTTTAGTTCCCCAAATATTTAAACTACTTCAATATGGATTTTTTTATTGTTACTAACTGATATTGTAAACACAATTTATACAGAAATAAGTATAGTGTTAAGATGTAAGTGTCAAATAATTAATTATTAACAACATGTAGCAACATTCATTCGTTTGTAATTCGTTCTATAATGTCGTCCATTCCATTTCGTCTACTGACTTTGTCATTTCTTACTATTTCTAAAGCATATTCCAAGTAATAATCTCTTTATTTTATGTTGTGTTCTTCTTAATTTTTCCACTGATGTTTTGGTGACAGATAAGATTTCTGCTTCGTATATGAGAACTGGTAGAACAAAGTGGTTGAAAGCTTTTCTTTTTAAATGGAATGAAATTATTGTTTTAAACACGTCTCTAATTTTCACCAGTCAGCTGTTTGGTTGTCTTATTCAGGAAATACCACAAAATTGGCATTTATAATTTCAAACACTTTTTTAATATACTCGTAAGCAACCCCGTGCATTGGTGTGTACGTAAACGTCAAATTCATTTTTCTATTCAACTCCTTAGATTCTTCCGAAGCGTCCCTGTCTACATTCTTCCTTTGTTTCTACTTGTGGCACTTTCCAAAATTTCAGGTGTAAAGTCAGTTATTCCTAGGTTATTCATTTGAACTGGCTTTTATTAGCATACGTTATCTCTACGACCTACACAAACCAAATTAGACTATATATATAATTAAATATTTGTGATTTGAAACGAGCATATACACAGAACTGATTGCTTTGCCAGCTGTAAAGTAGCTAAAAATGTGTGACATTAACACAGGTTGTGCTGCCTTGGACCAAAAGGTAGCCGAATGGTTAGCTCTGGACAAAAAAATGAAACAACTTCTAACGCTATGCGAAGTCTGCTACGTAAACAGAAATTTTGGGAAATAAATAAAAGTCATCATTTTGGTTTTCCCATAGTTTATCTTTAGGCCGACTCTCTGTATTAGTTGCTGTAGTTGTTGTGGCATAACACTGGCTTCTTTTAAATAGTGTATTCACTGATAAACACACAATTTGAAGCCGAATTTTTTTTACTCTTTTTAGGTAATTTGGGTCTAATGAATCCAAAAATGCTACCATATTTGCTTCATCAGATTTATTTTGCAAAATACGACAATAGATCATATTTCTAACATACAGGGTAATTTAACGCAGAACTACCTGCATATAAGTAGGGCTGCTACCCATCAAATAAACAAAATACAAATAAAAAGTAAGACACTTATTGTACAACAATATACTTACAAAAGTCATAACACATATCTGCCAAAAAAACTTAACTTTTCATCTAACCTAACCAGCATAGCAACACAAATCTGTTATTTAAACTTCATTTTATAGGAGTTTGGTGCAAAGGCTTTAAAAGGACGGTCCTTTTGAAGACTCCAGCAGTAATTTGCCATCAAGTGAGTGTCCCATCTCCCCTGATACCTCTTTTCATCGTTTTGATATCTTAGTGGAAGCGTTTCCTTTGTTCCTCCTTAAGATCACCAAGATTTTCTGGGAAACGGTTCAAGTGGCTGTGGAGGTAATGAATTTTAATTCTCATATGACAACCGTGTTTGTTAAAATTATTAAGCATTTCTTTCATTATATCCCGGTAATTTTCCGATTTATTGTTTCCAAGAAAATTTTTCACAACATTCAATATCAGTCATCGATTATGTAAAATGCGAATCTTTTATAAGTTGTCGTATCTGACCATCAAATATTCCGGCTTTCAGTTTTTATTTACTAAGTATTTGGTGGACAAGTATTCACAATAAATGAATCTCCATCTGATGTTTACTCCATCTTTTACTAAGCAGTTATCAATATGTACATAATAGATATACAAAAAGCAAGTTTACAAAACTTCAAAAGAAACTAGACAACCATTTAGGGAAAGAGATTTCTGACTTAGATAGTGACTCTTCTGTAGACAATTGTTCAGTATCATCTAACTCCGAATCTGTTAACAACATTCAACTCGATACTTCAATAGAACATTGATGGATTTTTCCACCGTCTCCCTATGCTACAGCTTCTTTTATCTGAATATTCTCCAGATATTATTTGTCTACAGGAGCAAAATTAAAAAAATTTACTTGTTTCCGCATTTCCGCAGTGATTTGTCAGAACCAATAGACAAGTGTGTTTCCAGTGACTTATAAGCTTATTTTAAAAATAAAGTGTGGTGTTTGTGGCGAAATGAGTGGTCTAAAACTAATTCCAATATAAATAAAATAAAAAATAATGTGTCTCAGTGGTTTTCATCGTCGCGCAATAGATGAGAAAAAATTGCGGTTGCGCGTTTACGTCTAGGACATACCAGATTAACGCACTCCTACCTTTTCACAAAGAAAAATCCACCTATATGTGATCAATGTAACGTCCGATTAACAGTCGAACACTTTTTACCAATTTGTAATAAATATGACCAAGAAAGACAGCGCTACAAGATCCCAAACGCTCTACCACAGGCTCTAGGTCAAAACTGTTCCTGTGACAATATAGTGAATTATCTCAGAACCATAAACATTTTGTACAATCTGTAGGTGTTTAACTTTGTTATTTATATTTTTTTGTTCCGTCGCTAATAAACTTTTGGTGGATGCGACATATTTTTCTAAAATAAAAATAAAAAAAAATATTATTAATATCTCTTCTTTCAATAAATTAAATATTTTACAGTTTACCAGCACTTTACGTTTTTACGCAGAATCCGAAACAAAGGATTCAATGAATCTTTTTAAAAATAAACAAAGCCAAGATTAGTTGGGGACTAACGCCAACGCCGCTCTGGATTTAGGTGAGCCGCCAAAGCTCCACTTCATTTATCTTCTTAGCACATTGCATCCCGTTGTTAAAAAAGGATTAACGATATCCTCTGGTTTTATGTCGTTTATTTAAATCTTATCGTACCACGAGCTAAAACAAAACGGTGTGTTCTACATGAAGCTGACAAGTCTTATCAAAGCGGAAATTTAAAATTGTAAAGAATGTACCGTACTTCCGAAAAAGTATTTTTAGTAAAGGTTTTCACCTTAGATAATCACTCAGTATAATTTGGTTTTAAACAAAAACTTGATACTTCCACATAGTTGTGGCTGATCTATACTTCTAAAATATTTACAACTCAATATCACTTCCGGTAAATTTGGAAAACTATGGAAAAGTCTTCAATAAAGTAACTACGCTATGGTTAAAGATTGATAGTGGAACTTGAAAGCAGTGTGGGTTGTCGATCTCACTATTTTTTTTAAGGTAATAATATTATTTGTGAAGTAGTCGTATTAAAGAATCTTTTTAGGAAATCTATAAAAAAATTTAAATTAACTTACTGCTTAAAACTACTATATCTCGGGTATAAACACAACCAAACTTAAGCCAGGTTTATAAACGGACATAGTACATAATCATAAGTCATAAACATAACTTTAACCATAATCATAATTCACAAGATTTAAGATTGGTTTATAATTAGACATAATACATAACCATAATATTTAAAAACTACTTCAGAAAATACAAACCTAACCAAATTTTTATAGATCTTGAAGAATTTTTTCTGGTCTTTAGATTCATAGAAAAGTGAAATAATTGTAAATAAATATGAAGATTAATAGAAAAGTTGATTTGGCCATGGCAGCAGTCCCACTTTATTTAACAATTGTAGCGACTATATCTGCCAGAGTTCTTAACAAGCAAAATAAGAGTAAGAAGGTATAGTCTAAAACCCATAAATAGAAAGGGTGATAAGGAATGGGATGAGGAACAATTCTTTAATTTTTTACGTTGGATTACACATGCGCATATTCCAACAATTCCATAATGTTTAATACTTAATTCATAAATGTTGAAAGTTACCAACTTTGAAGGTCACGTTTTAAGGACTAAATTTATGTTTTATGT